AAAGCCAGGGAATTAATGAACCAGTGAGCCTGACATCGGGGGTGGGCAACTTTGTTGGAGGGAATCCTGAGGAACAGGATTTACATGTATTTGGAAAGGCAAGGACTGATTAAGGATAGTCAACATGGCTTTGTGCGTGGGAAATCATGTCTCACTAATTTAATTGAATTTTTTTTAGGTAAGGAAGAGGATCGATGAGGGCAGAGCGGTGGAAGTGACCTATATGGACTTCAGTAAGGCATTCGACAAGGTTCCTCATGGTAGACTGGTTAGCAAGGTTAGATCACATGGAATACAGGGAGAACTAATCAATTGGATACAAAACTGGCTCAAAGATAGAAGACAGAGGGTGGTGGTGGAGCATTGCTTTTCAGACTGGAGGCCTGTGACCAGCAGTGTGCCAGAAGGGTTGGTGCTTTTCATCCTTTATATAAATGATTTGGGTGTGAACATAGGGGGTATGGTTAGTAAGTTTGCAGATGACACTAAAATTGGAGGTGTAGTGGACAGCAAAGGTTACCTCAGAATACAACAGGATCTTGATCAGACAGGCCAATGGGCTGAGGAGTGGCAGATGGAGTTTAATTTAGATAAATGTGAGGTGTTGCATTTTGAAAAGGCAAACTGGGGACTTATACACTTAATGGTAAGGTCCTGGGGAGTGTTGTTGAACAAAAAGACCATGGAGTGCAGGTTTATAGTTCCTTCAGGGTGGAGTCACAGGTAGATAGGATAGTGAAGAAGGCAATTGGTCTTTATTGGTTAGTGTATTGGGGACAGGATTTGGGAGGTCATATTGCAGCTGTACAGGACACTGGTGAGGGCACTATTGGATTACTGCATTCAATTCTGGTCTGCCTGCTGAAGGATGTTTTGAAACTTGAAAGGGTTCAGAAAAGATTTACAAAGATGTTGCCAGGGTTGGAGGGTTTGAGCTACAGGGAGAGGCTGAATAGATTGGGGATATTTTCCCTGGAGCATTGGAGACTGAGGGTTTACCTCAAAGAGGTTTATAAAATCATGAGGAGCAAGTCCAAAATTAGAGGACATAGGTTTAAGGTGAGATTGGAAAGATTTAAAAGGGACCTAAGGGACACATTTTCACATAAAGGGTGATGTGTGTATTGAATGAGCTTCCAGAGGAAGTGGTGGAGGCTGGTACAATAACAAAATTTAAAAGGCATCTGGATGGGTATATGAGTAGAAAAGGTTTAGAAGGATATTGCCAAATGCTGGCAAACAAGTAGATTTATTTAGGATATCTGGTTGGCATGGATGAGTTGGATCAAAGGGTCTATTTCTGTGCTGCACATCTCTATGACTCTAATATGATCAAAGCTCACGTCCAGCTTCAACACCACTTTCCTGCTTAGTTCCTATATCCCTTGATTCGAAGACCAAGCATCTTAATGTAATGAAAGTTGAGATGCACCATCATGGTGCATCCACAACTCCTCGAGGCTGAAAATTTTAGATATTCACAACCCATTGAGTGAAGAAATTTCTCATCTCAGTACTAAATGATCACCTCATTTTGAGATTGTACCCATGTTCTAGATTCCCTAGCCAGAGATAACAGCCTCGCAGTATCTACACTGTCCCTTCAGAATCTTGTGTGTTTCACCTTATTGCTGGAACATTAAATGATAGCAAACTTCCAATGTTGTGAAGGATCAACCCTGACAGTATTTTTGAAGTTTACGTCACACCTGAAAACATATTTGAATTGCTGAAAAAAATACCAAAGTGCTGGAGAACCTGAGCAAGTCTGTTAATATCTATAGAGAAAGAAACAGGATTAACGTTTTGAGTCCAAATGATTCTTTCAAACTTTAATTGCTGGTGTTGATTCATGAGAGATCAGAGTGCTGGATATTAATATTTTATAGAACAGCAAAAAAAAAGTCAATGTAAATGAAAAAAAATCAAAGGTTCAAATTTCAGGTGGTACTGTTTATTTATGTAGCTTTAAACAGACTAAAAATATATCTGTGCATCAGTGTGAATGACTAGTTAGTTAGCTCAGTACCTAATGTAACTGTAAGATAAACACAAGCTGCAGAAAAATGTTCCAGTTATTTCCAAGACCTTTTCCTGAAATGGAACCTGCAGATGACAAACAAAGCCTGCCCACAGGATTAATACTTCCTATAGCCACGAATTTATTTCTCCCCCAGAAATCCTAAAACTGGAATTCTTTACACTCTCTCATTTTCCCATTGCTTTGCTAATCTATATGTGTTGAAAACATACACTTTGTGTCACCCGTCACTACGCAATAATTTGTTTTAATTCTTCTCATACACTTTACAACTTGACAGTGTCATGCACTGTGGACCTCAGACTATCAGCTGGGCTTTTACTGGTCACTATAAGTGTTAAGTTCCAGATTTAAAGGTCAAAGTACAGTACAAAGTTATGCAAGAAACACAAGTCATAGCATGCTGACCTTCATTTCAAATTGGCAGGCTTAGTAAATTTATACATTAAATACAAGATTAACCACAATATCCACGTATTTATTTATCATCTCTTTCAGATCAAAAAAAAACATATATTTAATCTAGGACAACAAGGTGCAGGGCTGGATGAACACAGCAGGCCAAGCAGCATCATAGGAGCAGAGAGGCTGACGTTTCGGGCCTAGACCCTTCATCAGAAATGGGGGAGGGGAAGGGGGTTCTGAAATAAATAGGGAGAGAGGGGGATGCGGATAGAAGATGGATAGAGGAGAAGATAGGTGATTGAGGAGACAGACCGGTCAAAGAGGCGAGGATGGAGCCAGTAAAGGTGAGTGTAGGTGGGGAGGTAGGGAGGAGATAGGTCAGTCCAGGGAGGACAGACATGTCAAGGGGGCAGGATGAGGTTAGTAGGTAGGAGATGGAGGTGCGGCTTGAGGTGGGAGGAGGGGATAGGTGGGAGGAAGAACAGGTTAGGGAGGCAGGGACGAGCTGGACTGGTTTTGGGATGCGGTAGGGGAGGGGAGATTTTGAAACTTGTGAAATCCACATTGATACCATTGGGCTGCAGGGTTCCCAAGCGGAATATGAGTTGCTGTTCCTGCAACCTTCAGGTGGCACTGCAGGAGGCCCAGGATGGACATGTCGTCTGAGGAATGGGAGGGGGAGTTGAAATGGTTCGCGACTGGGAGGTGCAGTTGTTTGTTGCGAACCGAGCGTATGTGTTCTGCAAAGCAGTCCCCGAGTCTCCGCTTGGTTTCCCCGATGTAGAGGAAGCCACACCGGGTACAGCGGATGCAGTATACCACATTGGCAGATGTGCAGGTGAACATCTGCTTGATGTGGAAAGTCTTCTTGGGGCCTGGGATGGGGGTGAGGGAGGAGGTATGGGGGCAGGTGTAGCACTTCCTGCGGTTGCAGGGAAAAGTGCCGGGTGTGGTGGAGCTGGAGGGGAGTGTGGAGCGGACAAGGGAGTCACAGAGAGAGTTGTCCCTCCGGAAAGCAGATAAGGGTGGGGAGGGAAAGATGTCTTTGGTGGTGGGGTCGGATTGCAGATGGCGGAAGTGTCGGAGGATGATGCGTTGGATCCGGAGGTTGGTGGGGTGGTACGTGAGGACGAGGGGGATTCTTTTTTGGTTTTTATTGCGTGGACGGGGTGTGAGGGATGAGGTGCGGGAGATGTGGGAGACACGGTTGAGGGCGTTCTCGACCACCGAGGAGGGGAAGTTACGGTCCTTGAAAAACGAGGACAACTGAGATGTACGGGAGTGGAATGCCTCATCCTGGGAGCAGATGCGGCGGAGGCAAAGGAATTGGGAATAGGGGATAGCATTTTTGCAGGAAGGTGGGTGGGAGGAGGAGTATTCTAGGTAGCTGTGGGAGTCAGTGGGCTTGAAATGAATATCGGTTTCTAGGTGGTTGCCCGATATGGAGACAGAGAGGTCCAGGAAGGGGAGAGAGGTGTTAGAGATGGTCCAGGTAAACTTAAGGTTGGGGTGGAAGGTGTTAGTGAAGTGTATGAACTGTTCGAGCTCCTCGTGGGAGCACGAGGCGGCGCCGATACAGTCATCAATGTAACGGAGGAAGAGGTGGGGTTTAGGGCCGGTGTAGGTATGGAAGAGGGATTGTTCCACGTAACCTACAAAGAGGCAGGCATAGCTTGGGCCCATGCGGGTACCCATGGCTACCCCCTTTGTCTGTAGGAAGTGGGAGGAATTGAAAGAGAAGTTGTTGAGGGTGAGGACGAGTTCGGCTAAGCGGATGAGGGTGTCAGTGGAGGGGGACTGGTCGGGCCTGCGGGACAGGAAGAAGCGGAGGGCCTTAAGGCCATCTGCATGGGGAATGCAGGTGTAGAGGGACTGGACGTCCATGGTAAAGATGAGGTGTTGGGGACCGGGGAATTGGAAGTTCTGGAGGAGGTGGAGGGCGTGGGTGGTGTCACGGACATAGGTAGGGAGTTCCTGGACCAAGGGGGAGAAAATGGAGTCTAGATAGTTGGAGATCAGTTCGGTGGGGCAGGAGCAGGCGGAGACAATGGGTCGACCAGGGCATTCAGGTTTGTGGATTTTGGGAAGGCGATAGAAGCGGGCAGTGCGAGGTTGGGGAACGATGAGGTTGGAGGCCGTGGGTGGGAGGTCACCTGAGGTGATGAGGTTGTGGATGGTTTGCGAGATGATGGTTTGGTGCTCAGGGGTGGGGTCATGATCAAGGGGGCGGTAGGAGGTGGTGTCGGAGAGTTGGCATCCGGCCTCGGCGATGTAGAGGTCAGTGCGCCATACTACAACTGCGCCTCCCTTGTCCGCGGGTTTTATGGTGAGGTTGGGATTGGAGCAGAGGGCTGCACATTCTGCGGGGGAAGAGGTTAGAGTGGGTGAGAAGGGTGGAGAGGTTGAGGTGATTGATGTCTCGACGGCAGTTGGAGATGAAGAGGTCGAGGGAGATATTTAATCTAGTCATTTATTTCTCCTCAATGTCAGTGAAGTAATGTATGGTGAGATATGGTATTAAGTATTTGTTTATTAACTACTTGGGCAGGATATGTTCTAGACATCTTGAATTTTATTCACGTAGTTAAATTATGAACTAAATGCATAGTTTTATTCCTACATCCATAATTAGTAGCAGTGGTTTCACCAAATTCTGTTTTCAAACTGACTGTTTTATTGATTGATGTGAACTCATTTAGGTCTTCACATGTAGCAGCAGATCTAGTCCCAGCCTTAGTTCTTCAAAGCTGAGATTTGCCAAGAAGCTTCTCTTTAGTTCAATCTCCACAGGTAATTTATGATTCATTGAAACCTGCAGGAGGGTGAGCAGAGTCTGGCACCGAAGCCATCTGAAAACATTCTCCACAGTGATCGGAGTTGAGGCAAGGAGCTCTGGCCCCCACAGGTGTAGGTGAAGCATGTCTGCAGCTACTCTCGCTGACAGACGCTGTGAGCAGAAAGAAAAGCAAAAAATGTTCATTTCTAGCTTACACAGATATACCATTAATAAAATCTACAGTTGATGTCAGCTGTGTTAGAAATGGGACAGAATATTCAGCCTTAGTACCAGATGATAAAAACAGAGAAAAAAAATTAAGACAGAAAATTCTTTAGGAGGCTTTTAGATGAAATTTAGCAGAAGATAACCTTTCCCTACAAGCTTTGTTGGTCCCCTCTGCTGTAGAAAGTCAGATGTTAAAAGATAATCAATTTGAAATGCTAGCTATATACTTCTATCCACAGTCGCTGCCTGACCTGCTGAATATTTCCAATATTTTCTGTTTTTATTTCAAAATTCTCATTTTCACTTTCAGGGACAATTGAGTGAAGTCATGTTGGGTGGAAGGCACAACTGCATGTGTTGAAACAAGCCTATTGAGCCTGCTCTACCTTACAATATAATTATTGTTGATCCTGAACTGCAACTCTTTTTTTTTTTTTAAACCCACTCTCCAGATCCCTCAGTATGAGACATGTGCCAAACATACTAACTTTGATCTAATCATCAGATGCAATCTTCCATATTGGAAGAAAGCTTGCCTATCAATGCCAAAGCAGCTACTTGGTCAGAGTAGGAATTTAAGCACCACAACCGACCTCAAGATCAGCCACAACAGCATCTCTGCTGCAACAATAGGATCAGGTTTGGAGTGGCTATGACACGGTTCGTTCAAACTGGTTTGTTATCATTCACTGCTTAGGGCTCACAAGTGATGAGTAGGCAGGTACTCTGTTTCTAAACCTGTACTTCAGAAAGTCATCCTTTTTAGGAATGGCAGTGGAAAAACTTGCAAAACAGGAGAGAAGCAGGATGCTACAAGGTGCAAAGAGATATTAACTAACCAAGTGAGTGACCAGAATTGATGCAGGAATAAAGGGACATCCAATGATATAACCTATGCTTCATTTTAAATTAGCAAATTCAAGTAAATACTTATGCTTTCTTTAGCGGCTTTGTAAATAATGGGCTACAAAGCTGAACATGCTACAGATCCACAATCTGATGGGGGTTATTTTTCAGAATTTTTTTCTCATTTGCTCTGGGTTATTTTTCACCCAGTGAATTACATGCTTGGAACTTTTGGAGAAAGGGGGTTATGGAGGACATAAATGCTCTGTGCATCAACGGCATGATGAACCATCTGCCTAATAATTTTGTTCTTTCGTGAAACAAGAAACTTGTGATGTTCCAAGGGTATTTACAAAAGAATCTTTTAATTTCAAATCAATGAGCAGTTTCAACAATTGGTGCTGCACTCACCCTCTTAGGATCTCTGCACAACAGACGTTTCACCACCAGTCTCACGTCTCTGTGAATTGAGCCCGGCAGAGGTGGCAACTTATCCTCTTGATAGTTCCAGCTTTCCAGGTAATCCATTCCATATCCATAAAATGGATTACGAAGGCCCAGGATCTCATAGGCCAAGGTGCCCACTGACCAGGCATCTGATTTGTTGTAATCAATTATGACTCCGGGTCCAGGGATTGCTGCAGAAATCTGGAAAGTACAGGAGTATGGATTAAACTTATGATATAATGCACTAACAAGTCAGCCTTGTTTAGTCACTAATAAACTGGTGGTTCTGACTGCAGTTAAATATATCCCACTACAAAAATTAACCACGTACAAGTTCTAATAAAGAGTCACTGGACTTGAAACGTCGACTCTGCTTTCTTTCCACAGATGCTGCCAGACCTGCTGAGTTTTACGTGCAATTTCTGTTATTGTTTCAGATCTCCAGTTCTTGGTTTTATACAACGGTGTGCAAGTAATGGCCTCGCATGCTTTTCCTTTTTTTGAAGTGCACTTGCCTCAGGAGCCATTAGGCAGATATTTCCTCCCCGGTTGACATCGTTACTGGTAAAGGGAAGCTTCAACCCCAGAGATTCTTCAGCCAGACAGCAACCAAAATCAGTGATCACCAAACGTGGGCAGCCAACTAAACAGTATGTAAAAAATAATTTTAAAAGATTTACATTTATACTTACTTCCAAGTACATCTTAAATCAGCAATTCCACAATTGAGGTTAGCATGCCACAAAGTGAAAATTAAGTATTTTCCATACAATTAAAATTGTTAAGATACAAAATATGTTAGAAAGATGATACTAGTTATCACAGAAATATTGCAGCGGTCCAGGATCTACATGAAATTATGTCTCAAACTCTTCCATCTTGTCATTGCACATTTTCAGAAAATAAAACAAAAACATGTACCAAAGGATTGTCATTATATATTGTGTAAGTGTTGAGCTAGAGCTTTGTTCTGCAAAGAATCCTGGACCAACCCTCTCTTACCTCATTCTGCTAGATTATGCCTAATTCTTCTATCTGAATAAGTGATTTATGCATGCACAGTTCAATGCACTCAAAAATCTAAATGTTACTGACAGTTTACAGGCTCCTCCTTGCTCCCCCTCAATTTGTACAATCACCTGAATCAAACTCCACCAGAATATTATCAGACTTCAGATCTCGGTGTGCAATTCCATGCTGAACCAGATGATCCACTCCCTCCAGCAACTGAAGAATCATCACAGTAGCACATTCTTTGTTAGGGATACAGACCTGCAGGTACTGTTGCAGGGTGCACGGATAGCTAAGGCAGAAAACGCACAACTGTTAACTCTGCATTTTTCCTGCCAAAAACTTGTGGTTAAATAACTGACTACAAAGATTTTCAAATGTAATGCATCAGTTTTTTAAAAAAGCAACAACAGTTGCAAAAGTGTCTTACAGGCTCACATGGTCAAGTGCCATTGTCTGGAATGGTGTCTTTTCTCATCCCTACCCTTTCCATGTTGGTTTCCAAAAGGACTTTTGAAAGGCATTCAAAACAGTACCACACTACAAACCTGTAATACAACTTCTGAAGAAGGGTCTAGGCCCGAAACGTCAGCCTTCCTGCTCCTCCGATGCTGCTTGGCCTGCTGTGTTCATCCAGCTCTACACCTTGTTATCTCAGATTCTCCAGCATCTGCAGTTCCTACTATCTCTGATACAACTTATAGGTCATAGAATAAAAGGGACAATGGCAACACAGATACAAAATTTTCTCAGAGATAAAAAAAAAAAGAGTATTGACTGATGGGTGATTTTTTAGGTTGGAAGAAGTTTTGGAGTAGACTTCAAAATATATAAATGATCTAGGGGATAATTTAAGTTTACTAACAACACAAAACTTGGGAGAATTGTAACCTGCAAGGACGATAGTGTAGAACCATTGGTGGAGTAGGCAGATAATTAGCAGATGAGGTTTAATGCAGAGAAACACAAATTGATACCCTTTGGTACAGATAACATTGACAGACAGTACAAACTAAATGGTACTATTCCACAAGGTGTGCAGGAGCAGAGAGACCTGGGTGTGTGTATATGTAATTAAAGGTGGCAGGCAGGTAGAGAGAGCTGTTAAAGTATACAATGTTACAGGCTTCACAAATAAGGGCATGGAATACAATGATGAACTTAAATAACAGACTGGTTAGATCTCAGTTGCAGTAATGTATACAGTCCTGGGCGCATTACAGGAAGGATGTGAATACATTGGAAACAGTGCAGAACAGGTTTAAGACCATGGTTCCAGGGATAATACACTTCAGTTACAAAGCAAAAAATTGGAGAAGTTAGGCCTGGTTTCCATAGAGAGAAGACAGCTAAAGGAGACTTGATAGATGTTTAGGATCACAACGGGTCTGAATAAAATGGATAGGGAGAAACTGTTACATAGGTAACATTTGAACTCAACCTCTAGGCTTGATGTTCAGTCCCATAACCATGACATAACCATAACAGAGAGGGATTTCTTAGTTTCTATACTGTATTTTGCCAAAATTTGAACTTAAACATTGGTTCAAAACAAGGACCTTTTGTTTCAGTTTGAGAAGCTCAAAAGTAGAAAGCTACAAGAATCTTTGCATTATAATTTGTAGAAGACAGCTAGGAATCAAAATCTTTTCACAAACTCCCTAGAAAAAAACTTTTGGTTTGAATGTGTTGACTGTCTTTAATAGTTCTACAAAACCAATTTCTCAATAACTAAATCAATGGTATTAACTGAAATATATTTTTATTTTTACCAAATATTAATAATTCAGTAATTCTTTTTAACTTACTTCCCACTCAGTGCTTACCATTCCAGCTCACAGCTGTGCCTCTCTCAGTTCACCATCTCCCTCACAAACCCTCTAGCTCACCATTTTCAGGTTTCCTTCTGGTCCAAGCTCAAGCATGACAGATGATGGACCACAGCTAATCCTTCAGCTCTCAGCCCCTAAACATCAAGCACTGAAAGGTGTGTAACTGCTTACCTCTTCATTACCAGAAAGAGGGTGTGGTTGTATCCCAAGCCACAAGGATTCAATCTGGTTGGTAGCACATCAGGATACTCCATCCAAGCTCCAGGCAAGAGCGGAACACTGTCTACGAAAGCTCGGACAACCTGAATGATGTTTGGATGTGGTTTCATTTTTTTTCTGTTATGAATATAGGATCCAGTCAAAAGTATTAGAGAAAAATTATGAAGCAAAGAACACTTCAGTGGAAAAGTCATGCAATTTGACAGTCTGTCTCCCTATATGTAGTATATAAGAAAATATTACATGATTTCAATTGAAGTTGTTGCTATACTCCAATATGGTGGTGGAGCTACAGCACCATAACCTGGTATGTCAGCATGCTATGCCACATCATTAAGAAGCAGACTCACTGCCAGAGTGCAGAGTTTCCGTCGTAGCTATAAACATGAGGTAAGAGGTCACTTAAAGCCACTCTCTCACGTCATGGGAAACAGAGGAATTGGTGTAGACATTTTAACTCATTAAGCAGTTTCATCATTTCATTGAATTGTGGTGGATCTGCTCCTCATCTCCATTTACCCATGGCTGTTCCATATACCGAGATGCATGATCAACATCAATCCATCAACCTTTACCTTGAAAATGAGAATTTACCCTAGATCACAACATTTCGGGGGAAAACAGTGTTTAGACTGCCACCATCCCTTGTATTGATGATGTGGAATGCACTGCCCAAAAGGGTGAAAACCATGCAGTGAAACTGGAATGTCATTGCCAGGGCTGAAGCCTGGGCAATAAATTATTGAGATCCTTCTCTCAAACTTGCCACTTGCCTTCAAAGCAATGCAAACCATTACTTTTAGCATCAGCTTGGTTACAGGAATTGCTAAAATGATGATGTATTTAGACACCAGGTCTACCTTAGGCTCCACTTCATTTTGTTTTGTCAGTGCATACACCCTTCACCTATCGAGGAATACACACAAGGCAGTTCAGCTATTTGACGTTAGCTGGGAGTTTGGTACATGAAGACCAAGGCACACCCATACATTTGCATTTGCATTTGCATTTGCATGTCTTGGGTAAGCCTCTTCCAGGTTATTCTGACACCATCCTGGACACATAAGGGAGCCAGCTTCCGTGTCTTGACATAAGGAGGCACAGCTGAGAAGTTGCTGATGGACAGGCTTCGTCATTTAGCTCTATTTTTGTATTGATGCTAATCAGCGTGGAGGCTGAAAACGAGACATAAACCAGCACAAGAGCTTAAAGCACAATAACTCCCTTCACTCACTCACTAGATGCATCATATCAACTTACTGGACACATATGGTGATGTAGAAAGATACAGTAGTTACTTTCAAAGGGAAATTGAATAAATTCTTGAAGGGGAAAGTTTTGTAGGGCTTTGAAGATGGGAATTAGACTGGGACAATGTCAATACCTCATTCAAAGCACAAGTGCAATGGCCCAAATGACCTCATTCTGTGTTGTAATTTTACGGTAATTCTATTATAATTGAAAAGCCTTGATTAGATCATCCCTCAGGCTTCTAAACTCAAGGGAAGACAAACAATGTTTATATAAAACTTTGTCCTTGAGCTGGAGTCTGTCCGGCCCTGGTACCATTAAGTCATCATATCATTCTTGAAGTTCTATACCTAATACTGGGTTTGATCAAATATCTGTTCAGTTTAAGTGGCAATTTCTAATTTTTAAAATTTAAAGCCCTTAAGAAAAAAAAACAACATGCCATTAATGTTATGATTACTATTTTGTTCCTCTGCACTAGTTTCCAGTGGTGTGAAAGGGTAGTTATTGAAATGGGGAACAATCAGGAGAGCTGAACTATTTCGATTACTCTTCAAATACTGGCTTAGAATTTATGGTCTGAATGGCCTCTTGAATTCTGCGATTCTACAAATCACTTTAATTAGTTTTAAATAAAAGTGCTTACTCACTTCTGTTTCTGACAATATAACCAATCATTTTCCTACTAATGATGTTGAATTGATGGGCATGCAGGTTCCTCAACTATTCCTGCTAATATGCTGGAGTGAAAACCACATTCTGGGACCTGTCAAACTAGAGTTCAATTATTTTCTTCATTGTCATTTCTTAAATATTAAAAATCTAATACTACATATATTTTGCTGTCTGCTTTCATTGTAATGTAATGGAACAGACCAAACACCCTCAAAAGACATCAAGGAGATAGCGTAGACCCCGACATTTTCTTATTTTAAAGGCAAGTACCATGCGTTGTGTTCCAGATGCAATTCGATTGGTCAGACTTGTAGACTTAAAGTAAGACATTCATATGCTATAGTTAAGATACAGACAAAATTAAAATAAAAGAATTGGCTTAACCATAACTATCAAAACATTTTACAATAATAATAAATTACTCATTAACTGCTTCAAAAAGTAACACCCTTAGCAAAGGTACAGTCAGTAAAATAAATTGTCTCACATGTAATTCTAGCAGCAGGAAGAGAACCCCACCTTTTAACTGTGAGAGAGAGAGGAAAAACAGCTTCCATATCCAGCTTCAAGAGGCCAGCAACTGCTGAAAGCTAAAACCCAGAAATCCTGGTTTTGTGGGAGCCTGACCCCACCCATTCAGGCTGCTTTTATTGTTCCAACTTTAAAAAGAAACCCAAAGCCTCACAAGCTATTTACTTTATTAGCTTGAAGCAGACCCCTCATCAAAATACACCTCTTAAAGCCATAGTATCATCACAGTAAAACAATACAAAGTAGTCACTTAACATGTATTTCTTTGTTATCCAATATAATCTCTTCTCCATCTATAATTAATGAACTCACATTCCCTTTTGCTAAACTTTCTCAACATGTTTATTTTAAAAAAAAAAAAAAAAATTTATATTGTTAGTTATAAAGGTCACTTGCAAACTTTTATTTTTCATGCTTCCTTTTGCAACTCCAACTGTTTCTTTCAGTAACCTACTGTTGCTTGGTACTGCTCTCCCATCAGCTATGTTTCTATTTTTCTTTCAGTTGTATTAACCTTTTCATTTAGCTTGATTTGGAAAATAACTGCCCTTTAGGGCGAGACACAATACATGATGACTAGAGAAACAAGAATTAAGCAAGTCTGGCAAGCAAATGCATTGAAATCAACTGTACTATATCTGAAAATCATTTATCCTGTGACATTCAAACCATTTTAGGCAAATAAATGCAGAATACATGACTAACCCTTTCATTCCACCAAACTCTCCGATTAATGCATTCGGGATGGTTGGAACCAGCTCCTTAACCATTGATGTTAGTATTGCATCACTGGAGGATCCTGCCTGCAACAGAAAGTTCAAGCACCAAAGCAATGAATTCAGCAAAAGTTAATGTGCAAAACACTAGTGCCAGCTTTCAAATCTTTTCCTTTTAAGTATTTTAATGTTTCACTTTATTGCAGAACTGCCAAGCTTAAAACGGGAGAAGACAATGATCTCGGTCTAAGGGATCCTCAAAACATTAGCCGTAAAGTTCTCTTCAATTCACTCCTATTCTCTCAGGTTGGTTCATATCATTTTTCCTGACAAAAGCATATCAACAACCGTGTAGCATGTTAACTGATTGATGTGACTGAATCACATCAACAAGTAGTACAGAAATGTCTCAAATCTGGTCCTGACAGTTCAATGGTGGTAGCTCAGAAAACAGCCAACATTAGCTTTTCTAGGCTAGAAAGCCTCCGGATCAAAACTCAAACGAATTCAAGATGCTAATTCCTAAACTGATCTCTAGCACTCCTCTCCCGTTGACCATCACTTTGATGCAAAAGGAATTGCAGAGGTTTTCATGCTTTAAGGCATAGACAGGCTTAAACATGATAGAGAAATACAATTAAATACATCTTCACAACCATCTACGGTCAATTACCCCTCAATGATCCACTTCATTATGATTTTAGGAAGTGTTACGACTATAGCACTGGCAAACTTTAAATCCTCCACATGCTGCACATCAGACGTGGTTAGTTCTGATGGTCACTTGTTTTCTTATGTGCAATTATTTAGGGCCTATATAGGGACTTCACTCATCCATTGCAAATATTTCGATTTTTAGTTTTGCTTTGATTTCATCCTGATGTTACACACTTATTATTAAGGCTATTAATTACATTGACAAGCAATTGTGTTTTACAGGAAAAAATGTAAATTTAAAGAATGCACTTTCTTTTTACAATAAGACAGAAGTATTTTAAATTGAAAGCACTGCAGACAAATTATTGAAAGCAAAAGAAATTCAAACTGCAAGTCTTGTGCCACATACCCCAGTATATGGTTATCTTCCACTTGGCTCAAACAACAAACTGTGCATTTTAATGTTTGACTTACATTTATGTTCCAAAGCATTTTTAGAGCAAGTGGATAGCTGGTTTCTCCTTCAGGCACCTTCAGGGGGTAGTTGGTGTCTTCCTCGAAGGCCCTCAGGGGGTAACTGCTGCCTCCCCCAGAAGCTCTCAAGGGGTTGCTGGTGTCTCCTTCACAAGCCCTCAGTGAGTCTGTTAATGTTTCTTTCTTCAAAATCACAAAACTCAAACTTGAGTTTTCCTGTGTAATCGATATCTTCTTTCTTACTTCGGAATCCTCACCAGAGACACACTGACCTCTGGCTGCACTCTTTGCCTGCCTGTTAACTACTTCAGCTTTCTCCTTTTTCGTGATCGTGTCACTTGCTTTTGTTTTGGGTACTTCAGGGATAAAGGCCTTGTACACAGCTGCATTACACCCCTTTCCAATGTTGTATCCAACCTTGTAATCTTCAAATCGATATCCACTCGTGCGTGAAGGTATGGAGTTTTCATACTTGATTTTCTTCCGTTTAAACAATGTCTGGCAAAGGGAAATAATACAACAATCAATCATTCTCATTAACTAACCAAATATATACCAATAGGTGCACATTTATGAAAATTGGAACTTTTTCAAATGTAGTTATAAAGAATGAACCAAACCTCCATTCAGTTTTGAGTAGAATTGATTTTAAAAAAAACAAAGCTCTGCCATTAGTACAAATCCACCAAATTCTTCACCACTAGTGAACAGTGCAATTCTCCAGGACTTGCTTAGGAAACTATGATACTATGGCTTCATTGTCAGACTATGAAGAAAGAAAGACTGACATTGTGGTAAACTCCTACATTTCATAATAATGTTGAATGTTTAGGAACATAGGTCCCTCAAATCTGTGCTCCCATTCTAGATTATGACTGATCATCCACCCAAAAACCATATTCCAATACAATCCCCATATCCCATGATGTTATTAGTATGAGCTTCCTTGTGGTAGAAAATGAATTATATCAAGCAAATCAAAACAATGCTCACTGATGTAGCAGAAATTTTGCTATTTGTGCATTTTGTTGCTCAATTAAGTCTTATTTTGTCGCAGTTTTTTAATTCTCCAAAAGGTGTGTCCTCTGTTGAGCTATTGGTTCATGTTTACAATTGGCAGTGCTAAATAGTGACAGATCATATTTGAAATTAAATTTAGGAAACATTTTACTGATTTTTAAAAAAATCTTAACACTTTTATTTGCCATATCTCCACCCCTTAATCTCATCTTTCTTTTGCTTTCTGGACATAATTGCTCAGTGAATTCAGTATTAAAACTTACACTTCCTGGTTCAAACTTAGAAAGATTGACACTTTCAATTTCTATTTCTTCTCCTGTTCTTCAGTTCTCAAAGTCCCTGTAGGAGATTGTGTTGTCCATTTCTAATCACACAATTTTCATTGCTAAAGCTCATAGAAAGTCTGTAGGCAATTTTATGTCTTATGCATGGCTAGGACGAGAGGTTTAGGATAAGAGGTAGCAGATTTAAAGAGAGAGGAGGGGAAAATTACTTCTTTCAAATCTGTGGAATTCACTATTTCAGTATGCACTGGATGCTGGGACATTAAGTAAATTTAAGCAGGAGATAGACAGTAAATTGGTTAAATGGTTATGGAGAGAAGACAGGAAAGTAGAGTTGAGGCCAAGATGAGATCAGCCATGATCCTATCAAACGGTGGAGCAGACTCAAGGGATTGAATTGCCTATCCCTGCTCCTTGTTCTTATGTTCCTATGTTCTTCTGACACTTTTTTTTAAAATTTGCTGGGTCGTTATTGGGATATGATTGCACAACATCTATTTGATAAAATGGACCAAAAGAGCCTAGACCATCATATCAAAGTTTAAACGAAAGTTGACAGTGTCAAAATTTGGTGACTTCCAAACTGACAGAGACCTTAATCAGGTAAACTACATCAGGTGTATGTCAGAGATCATAATAAAAGTTTAGGCAAGAAAGGAGAGGATTCAACTTGGGGCTTTCGCCTAAAATTGACATTGAGAGAATTAGCTTCCAACACCACTATCACCTACAATGAAGCCGGTGAAAAATCAATGTGTAGAGGTGGATGAACGCAGCAGGCCAATGCTGCTTGGCCTGCTGTGTTCATCCAGCTCTACACCCTGTTATCTCAGATTCTCCAGCATCTGCAGTTCCTACTATCTCCGGTGAAAAATCAGGCGACTGTTAGACAACAGCAAGACGGAAAAGCAGCCTATCGCAGGAGCATTAATCTATCTGTTCAAACGATGCCTGGACCGACGTTTATTTACCTGGATCTCCTCGCAGGCAGCGATGCTCGTCCTCACCTCCTCCACCTGCTGTTCGATGAAGCCCAGGCCCAGGCCGAAGGCCAGCAAAGCACCGCCCGGCCCGCGGAGCTGCCGAGACGCCCGGCGCTGAAGCTGAGCCGCTAGGCCGCCCAAAGACAGGCGGAAATAGCGGTAGCGGGCGGGTAGGCCGGCTTGGAGCGGCTGCCGGGCCCAGGGTTGCACAAAGGCCGCGCCCGCCTGAGCCCGAGCCGCGGGATTGACGAGGCGCAAGGCCGAGCGGCTGAGCTCCAGGCCGCGGGCTAGGAGTCGTCGCACCGACATTTTGGAGGTTTAAAATCTCCGATTTATCTTTTCAACATTGTTGAAGATAAACAGAGACAGTTTGAGACGAAAGGGAACGTTAAATGCTATCGACCGGGAAATGTCACCTCAAAACAAACCCGGTAACCATAGCAACAGTCATCATAAACCACCTCCGAACTGGGTAGTGTCAAACCAAACAAAACACCAGCTTTATTTTCAGCTGCGGATCCGCCCCTTCAAGGACCAATAAACACAATAACATGAGCACAGCGTGGTTCACTTCCAAGGTATTTAAGATTTTGTTGCTTTCCCGTGAATGCCAGCCTAGAAAACTAGGGGAAAATATCTTCAAGAAAATCTCAAGCCCACAAGACATGGAATTAGCACTGACACAAAATTGGGAAGAAAAAAGGCCAACCTAGAAATTTGGGGGGGAAAAAAGCTAACAACCGTTTGAAAAATAGCGAACAGAATACCCTCTACGAAAAGTAAAAAATAGCAGTGACAAAAACATTGGATGGGATGGAAATTTTGGGAAAAGATGACCAACAGCTTGAAAAACAATGACAGAATTCCCATAAAAACCCACAATTCAAGAATAACCGTTATATTACAGATAATAATACGTCGTCATACAAAGTTGGTGTCTCTACCCAATATTGTTGAACACCTCCTCTCGACCCATTTTTGCTTCTTAATAAGCTATTAACGCTCCCCATTATCTGTTTTGCTGCCATGTTTTTAGCTCAGCTTCTCCTTTTCTCTATCCCTTGCGTAACCCTCCTTTTTATCCTGCTTTGTTCTCGCTTCTAAACTGTTAAACCGCTTGTTCTCATTCTGATAAGTGATCGTTGACCTGAAGGTTAACTGCACTTATCTGTACACTGATGCTGTGTAACCTCCTCAGTGCTTTCAACGTTTTTGTTTTATAACTTTACCTTTTAATGACTGGGAAAATGAAACAAGTACCAGCAAGCCTCAAAGGAGAAATACAAACATTAAAAACACAGATCTGGTTATGAGTCCTTTAAGGAGGGGAGTCCTGGGGTTCATACCCTCATGGAAAATTTTAAGTTCACATTTTACAGTTGAACATTCTGGTTACAATAACTTAGATTTATATAGTCACTTGGTGGAACAGAATCTGAGTATGATTGTAACACCAGCAGGATGGGTTCAATTGTCATACTAGCTGAGGTTACCATGAAGGTCTGTCCTTCTCAACCTCTTCCCCTCTCACGGTGACCCACAGGGTAAGCCATCACCAATCATCTCTCTAATGAGAAAGCAGTACTGTGGTCTTTGGGGATTATGGCAACTTTGCTTTGTGGGGAGTCGAGTAGCTTACTTGGATGGCTGGATTGCGATACAGAGTGATACCAACACGTGGATTGAATTCAAGTACTGCATGAGGTCACTATGAAGGTCCCATCTTCTTGAGCTCACCCCTTGCCTGAGGCGAGGTGACCCTTAGGTTAAACTACCACTGGTCGTCTCTGTTTAATGAGCGAGCAGTCCTATGTCCTTTGGGACTAGGGTAACTTAACTTTATTACTGCAAAAGGAAACATGCTGTTGAAATGTTTTGTCCTGCAGTCATCATGACAATTACAAGAATACCAAATTTCAAAAGGAGCAACAATTTATACTACATGGGGGGTATCAATTAGAGTTAATGGCAGTTTTCTTTTGCCTGGGATGGGTTATTTCAAAACTAGAGGACACGTTTTTAAGATGGGAGGAGAGAGATTTAAAAAAGTCATGAGGGGCAATTTTTTTACAAAGAGGGTGGTTCGCGTGTTGAATGAACTTCCTGAGGAAATGGTGGTTGTTGGTATAATTACAACATTTAAAAGACATTTGGATAAGTACATGAATAGGAAAAGTTTGGAGGGATATGGGCCAGGAGCAGGCAGGTGGGACCAGTTTAGTTTGGGATTATGTTTGGCATGGACTGGTTGGACTGAAGGTCCATTTCTGTGCTGTATGACTCAATGACTCTATGCATGGAAAAAGGGTACTGATTGATTGGCAAGTGGACTCTGACTGAGGTGTGGAGAATTCCCTCGGGGAATGTTGTTTCCTCCCCCCAACCTTTTTGGTTTGTTGAAAAAGGCACAATATCTGCAGGGTTTTATTTTGTTTTGCTAAAAGCTACATATATTCAGACACAGGGCTCTCAAAAAGCCTATTCCTTTCCCACATTCAACATTTCCTTCTTATTTATTGCTCAACCCAACCCCTTCCCTTCTTAGTTGTTACCATCCTACCTCTCTCCACATTTATCACTTATTCATTGCCATCCGAGTACTATCACTGTTATCCCCTTCATTATGTCTTTCCCTGCTGTTTATTCACTCCCACTACCCTTTATTAATGCCCATCTTCCCTTCACTATCTCCACCTCAAAGTGCAGAGATCCATTTTGCTATGTACGTAGAAATGAAAGGTACTACTCCTCTATATTTACTTCACTCAAACAAACCTCTTAATTTAACAGCATAACCAATGTCATCAGTATCTTTAAGCATAGAGACATTTAAACAATGGTAGGCACATGGAATGGGAGAGCAGGTTTTGGGAAGCAACCTAAATATCTCCTGTCAGCTAGATTCGTAATAAAGAAAAATATTGTATCAGCCATGGGTCAGTTGGTAGTATCCTTATCTCCCACGACAGAAGGTTGTGAATTCCAGTCTCACTGCAGGATGCAAGTACATAAGTGTAGATATCAGATCATTATTACATTGCTATTTGTGGGAGCTTGCTGTGTGCAAATTAACTGTTGCTTTCTCTACATTACAATAGTGAATAAACTTCAAAAAGTACTTAGTGGCCATAAAGCATTTTAATTCATCCTGAGGTCATGAATGTGCTATAGAATTGCAAGTCTTTATTGATCAGTTTTGAGGTGACCCTCCCTTTCCTGTTTTTTTTCTTGCATTGTGGGTGTTTCTGGCAAGGCCAGTAATTGCTGCCCATCCCTAATTACTGTTGAACTGTGGCTTGCTAGGCCATTTCAGAGGGCAGTTAAGAGTCAATTACTTGTCTGTGTGTCTGGAGTCAAATGTAGGCCACTCCAGTTAAAGGTAGCAGATTTATTTCCCAAATGGACATTTTGTGAACGAGATGGGTTTTTATAACAAATTTTCGAGGTTACCAATACTCAAACTGGCTTTATAGTCCAGATTTATTTACTGAATTAAAATTTCATCAGCTGCCATGGTGGGATTAGCCTGGGTGATGATTACTAGCCCAGTGGCATTACCATTACTGCGCTAAACATAAACACCAGTGCTGCATTGCAAATTTCCAAAATGAAAGGCAAATATGTACAATGAGAAACATAGGTCATCATTCAGGTGTTAAAAATAAATTACCCTACATACGAGGTATTGTGGTGGATTTCACTGTAGCTTATTTTGAGAATACACTTGCCTTTTTTTGGCATGGTCCCCCTGTTTCCCATTTCTTTCTGACCTTGGCTTTAGTGAGCCCTGCTTTCAAACTTCTAGTTTCCAGCTTCACCTTTGTGATCTTGGTCTCCCATTCACTGGGCTTTTTACTCTTCTGTTCCTTTCCTTGTCCTCTGGTCTGTTGATCTCCTGGCTTACTTTTGAGGTTTCCCATCCCCCTTTCCCAGGAGAATTAGGATGTCTGTAGCCATTTGTCATATCTTTCAGAATGCCCAAATCAGTTTAAATGTATGAATCCCACTTGAATGTATTGACTTAGGAAAGTCCCACACAGAGCAATGAGATGAATAACCAGTTATCTTGCTTTTGGTAACATCACTCACAGGAGGATTTTGTACAGGACACCTGAAGAACTTACTTAATCTTTCATTTATGTGCTTTCATATCCACTTAAATCACCTGGACAGGTGATAGAATCTGTCTAATTTGTCTTCAAACAACACATCATTCCTTTAGCATGTTTTGTTTTTGGGCAGTGTCTTGGAAGGTTTTACAGTGCACTACTCAATGCAAAGGATATAGCTAGAGACCAATTTTTTCAAAGTAGCTCTTTATTTGCATTATATTATTTACATACATTCTAGCAAAGCATGCACCCTGGGTTGTTGCTGCTTCTTCAGAAGCTTATGTGATCATAACGTTATCAACAAAATAGCTTCCTCTGTATATGTTCAATAGTTAGTGTTAGAATTAACCCTTTGCACTACATCTTACCCCTCTCCTGTCAATTATTTTTCTCTCTGCACAATGGAATTCCTCTTCCTCCTCCTCCTATATGCTACTGCACTGGAATCACATCACCAGCTCAAGCTCTGAATTAAGCTTGAATGTACAATCAAAGGGGACCTAATGTTGAGATCCCAACATGTAAGTCAGTTTTTACCAGTTCAGGCTGTTTAAGGACAGATGCAGAGCACTCTCAAAAATTGAATGCAAAGTAATTTAAATCTATTTGCAGTGACACGGGAGAAGTAAAAATTTACTTTGTCTTTTGGGTACTGTGCACGTATTTGAGCTTTATGTTCTCCTAAACCCCACCTCCTGGCTTTGAAAACCAATATTATTCATTGATTTCAGAATAATGGGCAATCCAACCCAAAATTTGAATATCTGGTTGAATTCTCTGGGTGTATGCACTGAGATTTTCATTTTATTATATGAACTCTGTCCTGTAGGCTTTCATGTATTTATGCTGCAAACATCATCTGCAAAACAAGTGAATGTTGATCATATGCTTAAAGCTATCTTAAAGTTACAAACAAAACACTCAACTTCTAAATACAAACAGAAAATGCCTAAACTATTCAGCAGGTTAGACAGCATCCATGGAGAGAAAAAGATTTAACGTTCAGGCTCATGTCCTTTCATCAAAACTTGAGGAAAGATAGAAAAATAATAAATTTTGAGCAAGTGAAAGGTCTTGAGGAGGACAAGAGAAATTAAATGGCAAAAGGTGTCATGGAAAAAAGAAATGGATCGTAAGTACACCCAAGGATTACAGCAGTTCAAGAAGGCTATAAAATTGGCTGAAAGGTGGGAGACAGCGGGTAGTGGTGGATGAACAAAAACAAAGTTGCTGGAAAAGCTCAGCAGGTCTGGCAGCATCTGTGAAGGAAAAAAACTGAGTTAACATTTCGGGTCCGGTGACCATTCCTCAGAGGAAGGGTCACCAGACCCGAAACGTTAACTCTGTTTTGTCCTTCACAGATGCTGCCAGACCTGCTGAGTTTTTGCAGCAACTTTGTTTTTGTTCCTGATTTACGGCATCGGCGGTTCTTTCGGTAGTGGTGGAGGGTTGCATTTCAGACTGGAGGCATGTGACCAGCGGTGTGCTGCAAGGATCAGTTCTGAGTCCACTGCTTTTTAATCATTTATGTAAATGATTTGGATGTGAACAAAGGAGGTATGGTTAGTAAGTTTGCAGATGATACCAAAATTGGTGGTGTAGTGGACAGTGAAGGTTACTTCAGAGTACAACGGGATCCTGATCAGATGGGCTGATGGGCCGAGGAGTGGTAGACAGAGTTTAATCTAGATGAATGTGAGGTGCTACATTTTGGTAGGGCAAATCAGGGCAGGACTTACACACTTAATGGCAAGGTCCTGGGGAATGTTGCTGAACAAAGAGACCTTGGAGTGCAGTTTCATGGTTCTTTGAAATTGGAGTTGCAAGTAGACAAGGTAATGAAGAAGATGTTTGGTATGCTTGCCTTTATTGGTCAGTGCATTGAGTATAGGAGTTGGGTCATTTTGCAGCTGTACAGGACATCGGTTAGGCCACTTTTGGAATACTGCATTCAGTTCTGACCTCTCTGCCACAGGAGGATGTTGTGACAATTGAAAGGGTTCAGAAAAGATTTACAAGGATGTTGCCAGAGTTGGATGGTTTAAGCTATAGGGAAAGGCTGAATAGGCTGGCGCTATTTTCCCTAGAGTGCCGGAGGCTAAGGGGTGACCTTACAGAGGTTTATAAAATCATGAGGGGCAGTGATAGGGTGAATAGTCAAGGTCTTTTCCCCAGGGTAGGGGAATCCGAAACTAGAGGGCATAGGTTTAATGTGAGAGGGGAAAGATTTAAAAGGGACCTAAGGAGCAACCTTTTCATGCAGAAGGTGGGGCACATGTGGAATGAACTGCCAGAGGAAGTGGTGGAGGCTGGTACAATTATGACATTTAAAAGGGTACATGAATAGGAAGAGGATTATGGGCCAAATGCTGGCAAATGGGACTAGATTAATTTAGGATATCTAGTCAGCATAGACGAGTTGGACCGAAAGGTGTGTTTCCACGTTGAACATTTTCTACAACTCTAAGGCAGTTTACTATCACTTTTGCAAGGCAGTCAGAGATGAGTAATAGGTGCTTCGCTGCTAGTGATATCCATATCCCATGAATAAATGTATATTAAACAGAGAGAGGTTAAGAAACTAAAGATGTGCCCAGATAAAGTGTAATGACCGAACAGCAAGTGTATGACTGCAAAGTGAACATACTAACAGAAAGCAGAAGTAGGCCATTTAGCACCTCAAACCTGTCTGCTGATCTGTAACTTTAAATCTGTATTCCAACTTACCCCAATAACCTTTCAACCCTCTGGCTTAACTAGAATCTATCTGCCTGAGCCTTAAAAATATTCATGGACTTTGCTTCCATGACCTTTTTTAGGAAAAGAATTCTAAAGTCTTGTGACCCTCTAAGAGGTTAACGAAAGATGACTTCATCTGTGGTTTAAATGTTCTGAGGAAGGGTCACTGGACCTGAAATGTTAACTGATTTTTTTCTTCACAGATACTGCCAGACCTGCTGAGCTTTCCCAGCAACTTCTGTTTTTGTTCCTGATTTACAGCTTCCACAGTTCTTTCAGTTTTCATCTGTGTTTTAAATGGGTAACCCCTGATTTCTAAACAGTCACACCTAGTTCTAGAGAAAACAATAAATACATTGGAGACAATGATTTAAAATAGTTGAATGCAATGTTGAACAGGGATATCTTCCCTGATTTCCTTAAAATAATGTCAGAAGATCTTTTACATGCACAGCGGGCAGGAGGCGTAAAATGTTACCACCAGATGGGGAAAAAAGTGGCCAAACCTGATAAAATTAATATAAGGAGGGATTTCAAATAAGGGGGAAGTCCTGGCTGGATTTAGCAGAGTCTTAATCCCCATTGTCCTGAACTGGAACTAAGTCTAAGTAAGAGCAGGTAAATGGTTCTGTTGGTTTAGCATCCCATCTAAAAGAGAGCAAAACCTGGTTGCAAACATTTTTAATAAAACAGTAGCTAACATTTACGTGTACACACTGCTTCTCAATCACCAGATAACCGATTTTCTAAGGCTTGCCTTGAGCAGAGAAATCATATAAATTTTACTGTCCAAAAGGAGACAATTCGACACATCATGTCTGCACAGCTCTTCAAATGGACTACTACCAATTTCCTGCATTTTCCCCCATGCCCTTTCATATCATTTCTATGGAATGCCCTCTTGGATGCCTCAATGCTTCTGCCTCCACTACGCTTCCAGGCAATGCATTTCGACACAGTAACTGCTCATTCGGTGAATTGTCTTTGATTTTTCAAACTCATGCGCAAAGTGGATAGAGTAGATTGGGGGAACCTGTTCCTGCTCGTAAAAGAATCACGTTTTTGTTTAATCAGAGGGCATAGATTTGAAGTGATTTGCAAAAGGACCAAATATGATGCGAGGAAAAAAATGTCACGGAGGAAGTAGTTATGCTGTGATCTGTGCTCAAAGCAAGCGGGGATAGTAGGAACTGCAGATGCTGGAGAATCTGAGATAACAAGGTGTAGAGCTGGATGAACACAGCAGGCCAAGCAGCACCATAGGAGCAGGAAGGCTGACGTTTCGGGCCTAGACCCT